GTACAGTACAGAGTACAGTACAGAGTATAATCAGAGCGTGGTTGGTGTCTGGGAGGGCTGAGAATGAACAATACAGTACAAAGCTCTGCAGAGCTACAGGGTCGGTTAATTGTGGTTAGCGAGACCACCGTGACATGATTTGGTATTGTTAATATTGCAAATATGAATTTGTTTACAATAAATGTAAAAAAAACGAGTTGTGGAGTTTTAGGGACAGTAGTATTAGCTGATTAACAGCACTTGGATACGGTCCAGGAACAAGCTCTGTCATGTACGAATGAGATGAGAAACCTCCAGCACTGAAGGCAAGTAAACACACCTACACTAGTAAGCACTAGTAAGTAATGACTTGCTTTAATACAGAGAGTAGAATTTTCTATTTTGCACATTATTGTTATGTATTTTGAATATTTGCACTCTTTGTAACCCCCCCCCCCCAATTTCTCTCAGGACAAATTTAGTTTTATCTTATCTCATCTGAAACATTCCCCAGACAAAAATGAGAAGGCTATTAGTCTCTTTTTTGAAAATGTTTTGCTTCAACTATATATATGTAATTTCAGCTTTGACAAGTCAGTCTCGACAATGAAGCAAAAGTGTCCTTTTGGTTTTGGACCCTCACAGGAATCCTCAACCATGGCTGACAGTGTGTAGCTGTTGTAAAGAGATCCTGCGCACAAAGGGAAGATGCTCTGGGACGCTCTTCGTTCTTTAACGAAGCGACTCATTCAGTCAGCAATGAGGAGGCAGATTTTGTTCTGTGAATCGGCCAGTTGGCAGTCAAATTGCCGTTTGTGGATATTGTCTGAATGCGCAGCACCTCTCTGGGGGCTCAGGCTGTCTGCATTCAAATTGTTTTGCCAACGGAAAAGCAATCACGACGTTAAAAAAAGAAAGAATCCTGTGATACATTATACATGACCAGAGATGGAGAAAGAAAGTCCCTCTTAGAACTTGTTATCATCCAGAGATGGGTGGATGGATAGCTTTCAAATAACTTTCTGTTTGATAAACTGATGTTTTCACTGTTTTTTTTCTCCCCTGAAGATAAAATGAAAATGAAATTTGAAAGAAAATGAAAATGAAATAGTCGTCATATACATTGTACATATACACGAAATGTAACCTCTGCATTCAACCCATCCCTAGCATATAGGGAGCAGTGGGCTGCTACTGAGAAGCACCCGGGGAGCAGTTAGGGTTTAGTGTCTTGCTCAAGGACACTTCGGCACAGGACATGTAGTAGCCAAGGATCGAACCACCAACCTTCTGGACACCGGACGACCCGCCCTGTCAGCTATCCAAGACAAATAACTTCCCTTCACAAGTTATTTCTTAAAAGTTACAGCAGTTTCTCACTTTAATCCTTAAAGGGACAGTGCCCAACAAAACCAAAAATAAATGTTTCCCCTCTTACCTGTAGTGCTATTTATCTATCTAGATTATTTTGGTGTAAATTGAAAAGGGTTTCAGATACCGGCCTTAGAAATATCTGCCTTCACTTCAATATATAATATACATATAAATCAATTATAATTTCCAGAAATCATGACCTGGGTTACTGAAAGATTATCAACCGACCTTGTTGTGAGCAGTTTCAGAGGGTATAGTTCAGCAGAAATAAAATAGTTCTGACATCAAACTGCTGATAACAAGGTCTGTGGACGATGTTGAGTAACCCCGTCATTTGAGCACCACGTGCCATTCTATTCTATTGTATTGGGTAAAAGGCAGACACCTCTACAGTCGATATATTCAACACTTGGCAACTCACACCATGTTTTTAAAATACTTCTTTTGTGATTTTGAGGTGAACTGGTCGTTTAATGTCTTCATCACACTCCCTCCAAAAACCTATTTAAAGTGATCGTTTATAGAGACACTTCTCATATGTTCACCTGGCTTTCTAACATTTGTTTCTGTGGTATTTTGATTAAGGTGATATAAGTGAAATACACGTATTATCTCGATGTCTTAACGCTTCTAAATGTTCTCCTCATGTCCTTTTAAAAGAAACGACACCAGCAACAAATGAGGCGAGACATCTTTACACTCCCACAAGCCCATAAACACTGTTAGCCTCGGATGGAACCGCCCAAACACTATCAGAAGCTATCCGCTGTTACTTTTCATTGCCTATAAAACCATTGTTATTGCAGAGCAGCGGAGCTGATTCCCTGCTCTGCTTTACAGATAGTCACAGTGTCCTCATCTTCGCTTTAAGAGGCAGCAGAAATGTCCTTGATATGCTGTTCTTGTGCTCGCAAATAGATGTGTCCTCGCTCACCGGGAGGCTAATACTCTATGAAACAATACACAGATACACACACAGGGCAGAGACAAAGTAATGGAAGGCTTGATGGCACCCATGAACCCACGTTTATATATGATGCACTTGTTTATGGAGCCCAACAAAAAACCAAAGTAAATGAATTGTGTTTGGAGGCCATGTTTACAGACACACTGTCACCATGTTGTGTTCCATCCATATCCTCGGTTATTTCATTTCATAATCCATTGGACAGCTTGTTCACATACATGCCAGAAGCCAATCAGCTTCTTTGAGTGGTTCATAGGTTTATTGACTGGTTAGTTTGTCTGCTACTTCACTCCACTTAGATATGTTTGGACAAGCTGTGTTGCTGGCTCAATAAGAGGTTATGTGCGGACATTAATAAGTAAGTATGCTCATATTTTGTGCCTTCATTGTGAATATAGGAAGTGTAAGTTTGATACAGCTGTGTGAGTTGTACAAGGGAATACTTTACTAGAAACACAGAGAGGCTTCATTAGTAAAGACGTTTGCTTATAGGCCACACAGAGGAGTAGAAGATGCCACAGTCACTTTGTTTCATTGACTTTGTAAACACTGGATCTCATGTTCGACTTCTATTTGTTGATTTCTCCTCTGCTTTTAACACAATTCAACCCCTTATTTTAACCAGCAGGCTTCTAGAACAATTTGACTTAAGTCACAATCTTGTGGGCTGGATTCTTGACTCTTGAACCAATAGGACACAAAGAGTGAGGGTAAATGGAAGGTAGCTCCTCCACTGGCTCCCCACAAGGATGTGTGCTTTCGCCCCTATTATTCATCCTCTACACACATATGTGTCAGAGCAGGTATGAAGAGGACCATCTTAAAGTATGCAGATGACTCTGTTATTGTTAGTCGGCTCCAGGACAATGAGACCAGCCACGGCCCGGTCATCGAGGACTTTGTGAAGTGGTGTGAGGAGTATCCTCATTTAAACATATCTAAAGCCAAAGACATGATAATTGATTTTAGAAGACAAGCCCACACACATGAAGTCATATTAAGGGTCAGACAGTGGAATGTGTGCAATCTTACAAATATCTTGGGACAATTATTGACTCAAAACTGAACTTTGAAGCAAACTGTTTAGCCGTGTGCAAAAAGGGGCACCAGCGTTTGTTCTGTTTGAGGAAACTGTCCTATTTCCACATTGACAAAACCATGATGACCTTATTTTATCGTGCTTTTATTGAATTGATTTTTATCTTTTTCTTTGGTGTCATGGTTTGGAAACCAGCCTGCTAGACCATTTCACAATTTGATGCAGAGAGTTTCTGTTCTTTAAAGATAGGCTATCTTTAAAGAACAGAAACTCTCTGCATCAAATTGTGAAATGGTCTAGCAGGCTGATTGGTGAGTCACAGCTGAACCCAGAGTCCCCGTACACCAAACAGTTACAACGGATAACCGGCTCCATGTTAAAGGATGACTCCCACCCTTTGCACAGGGAGTTTCAGCTCCTTCCTTCTAGACGGAGGTATACAGTCCCACGGTGTAGAACACAGCGGTATAACAACAGCTTTGTTCCAGCAGACATCACTCAGGTGTACAGATTATAGCAACAGTTCAGAGATGTTAAAGAAGCAACGTTTGTGTACTTATTTATTTTATTTAGTGATTGACTGATTTGTAGCCTTGTGTACTTTCATCATGTTTGTCTTGTTGTCTGTGTTGATTGTAATGTGATGGATGCCCCGCCTTCTAATGCAAACCAAGAGTAACCTGAACCTCAACCAAAGCTAAGTGATATCTTTAATAAAGTCTGTTTAATACATTTGTTTGTAAAATGATACTTCAGAGTAATACTGACAACACATTATCAATAAGTATCCACTGCACTAGTAAACGTACATGTAAGAACAATTTCCAAATTCAAAAGAAATGTCAACTCTTTTTCGTGCTATTGTATATTTCCAGCTACATTTTCAGAAAGGTTTACGAGTATAAGAAAAAAAAAAGACAACTCCCTCTCCTGGCACACACAACACACACACACACGCACGCACACACACACACACACACCAGCCTATCAGAGACAGCTTGTGGCGACATAAAAAACCCCACATACACACTCTGGAGATCAACATGCCTGTCACACCTTCTTTGTGTGCTCTGTCAGTAAAACTCTGCAAACACAAACACACAGAGTCTCATCACACACAGCTGTCTGTCTATTTGTGTGTTTGCAGAGAGAGTGTGTGTGTGTGCAGGCATGTATGTCAGACCGAAACAAAACCAGTGAGAGAGAGAGAGGGAGAGAGAGAGAGACATTATGCTTATGTGAGACTGTGAGCGTAAGAATGATGATGATGGTGTGTGTGTGTGTGTGTGTGTGTGTGTGTGTGTTGGCCTTGTTAAAGATTGATTCCTAACCCTGGCACATTCCATATTTATCGGAGAGAGATGCAGGTGTCTGACTGCTGGATGGAAGAGAGAGAGAGAGAGAGAGAGAGAGAGAGAGACAGTTTGCAGCCAACATCCAGTTCTGAATATTAGCAATAAAAAGCTGAGCCAGCAGATAGAATCCTGCTCAACTCCTCAGACATTCTTGATCGCTTTCGTCATGATGTTTTGAGCACAAATGTTAAGTTATTAAAATAAAAAAAACATGATCTAAACGCAATACTGGACACTGAGCGGAAGTAAACAGCAGTAAATCTACTTGAACATGAAGGAGACTTACCTGATTCAGAAGGTTTCAGTTTTTCTTTGTCAGGCGGAGCCGATCAGGACCAAGTCCAGATGTGTTGTGATGACCGGATTTGATCTGCAACAGCCTGAAACAGAAGAGATATTTTAAAGATGAAAAATCTTTACCCTTCTTCGGTACACAAACAGGGAAATCCAAGCTCCTATAAACATGTCTTTATTCAAAATATGTTGGTGTTGACTGTGGCATCGAGAATACTTATTGTGTACCCAATGAGTGCATCCCTACATGTCCTGATGTGAAACTAAAAGGGTCCTGACAAACATCTAGGCTATGAGTTAAGATATGTTACTGAACTATAAACTTAAAGATGACAGTATAATAAGATGATTTATTTTTTTTATTGCTGGACTTTATTGAATCAATGAAAATAATAATGAACATAAATTAAAACACAAATACAACAATGCATCAAACATGAATTCAGAAATAAAAGCTCTATAAAAATATTGTGTGTATACTACTCTTGTGATGAAATAATGATTTGGCTCCCACAGTGCCTCCACCAGCCTCATCAGCGTGACTTTAACGTTTAGTTGAGCATGGTCCAAAGTCCCAGACTCCCTCAGTGTCACCATGTGGACGATAAAACAAAACTCAAAAAGCTGCAGCAGCAGCTTTTTGATTGCTTGTTTACTGGCAGCCTAAACATCCCATTGCACATTAAATAAAAAAAATTATGAATACAAATGTGCTCGCATATGTTTCAAAGTGAGCAGAGACTAAAAGCACGTTTGCACGATATGAAAAAGTGCACAGAATACATATAGGATGCAAAACATCCAGGCATGGAAGAAAAAGATTTTCTCAGCCAGAGTTTTGTGTTTTCCTGCTGTAAAGCTGCTGCTGCAGGTCAAAGAACCGTCCAACTTTAACAGCAGTTGATTGGTGGATTATTCCCACGCTGCTCATTAGTGAGCGGTTTAACAGGCTGCAGTCAGGTTTGAGATTTTAACAAGATATCGCCTTCACGTTTGGACAAGACATTTTTTTTAAGGTTCAAAATCCTCCTTCACAAGGAAACACATCTGTTTTTGTATTGTTGTGTCTGCTGTAGCATAAATAAACTGAGATAAGATTGTCAAATATCCCAAAGTTATGAATAAAAGAAGAAGGCAGATACAAAAAAAGTCTGTCATCTGTCAAATGCAGGGATGGAGGAGACGGAGACCGGTGGGTGGGGAGAGCAAAAGGTGAAGGAGAGGAAAGAAGGGAGGAGAACATGATGAAAACTGAAATAGACAAGGAGAAAATATCTAAATGTGAGGGAGAAATGGCACTAACAGAGTCACAGGATACTGGATGGATAAATGGGAGGATGAAGGGGAGGATGAAGGGATGGGAGGATGGGAGGATGAAGGGATGGATGGATGGATAGATGGATGGATGAATAGATGGGATGATGGATGGGAGGATGGACGGATGGGAGGCTGATTAGATTGATGATTGGATAGATGAATTAATTGATGGATGATGGCTTCAAGGATAGATTGATGAGTGCAAATGTATAGATGGATGGATGGATAGAAGGTTGACTGGATGGATGGATGATTGACTCCATAGATGCATTGATGGATGGATAATGGCTGCAAGGATAGATGGATTAGTGTATCTATAGATGGACAGATGATGGAAGGATGATGGGTAGATGATTGAATGGGTAGATGGATGGATTAATGGATAGATGATGGATTGTTATTTCTAGTAGATAAAAAGACTAATGTACTAATGGATTAAGGGTGGGTGGATGATGGAGTTATTGAAAGATTGGTGAATGAATAGATGGATGTGTGATTATATGGGTGGAGAGATGGACAGATAATAAAAAGATGATAGGATAATGGATGGAAAAATCCAATCACATACTTCTCTTTCTCTGACTCAACAAACATCTGAATTGAACACAGATGTAATGAAGAACTGTAAGAAGAAAGAAAAGAAACTTTGGAATAAAGAGTTCTCCTCAGAGAATGACAACTCACTCTGGTTCTATGAATAACCATCATCTATCAGCCTGATTAAGTCCCTAATCATCTCTTCTCTCAGCTCAACTGATTAACATAGGAACACACCGTCTAAACTGTGAAGACATGACTGAGTTTGGACTGTAGAATCTTTAAATTACCTAAAATCCCATATTTACCGTTATCAAAAAGAGGCTTTAGAGCTTTGTTCTGCATGACGTTTTAGGAGGTTGAGGAGGAATGATTTTCTAAAAACACTAGATTGAATTGAATTGAATATACTTTCTATAGTGGAATTCGGCCCATTTCGAACAGGTCTCTCACCAGCCCAAGCTCCTGAGATTTAAATTTAAATGTTTGTGATCAACTGACTCCGTCCTTGTGCATCATCTTTGTTGAAAACAGATATTTACATAACTTAACAGACAAGACAAAATGAACGTTTCATTGAAATGTCACACTGGTTCCCTTGAGAATGACAACCCTCCATTTTCAACATTGTGTGGTAAAATACTAGATTACAATTGGGGACATAGATATATACACACCCTTTAGCATGTGTATGAGACGCACCAGGCTTTCAACTGACGCTAATGTAAACCCATCCGCGTCATTATTAGACGTTTGGAGCAACTGATGTTGTTTAAATAGGGAGAAAATCAGTGTGGGGCAGGTGTGGGAGGGGGATGGACAGGCCAAACAAAGGACTTTCACCCAGCAGACTACTGTTTGTATCCCTTAGTTGTGTTTCTTAATTACCAGACTTTACTGATACCAGTTAAGTAACAGGTGTACTCATTTTATGTAACAAACATAGTTATTTTAACCGAGACCATTATCTTTTCCCTAAGCCTAACCGAGTAGTTTTCTTGAATAAGTAAACCTACATTAGAAGTTTATGTTGTAAAGATACGTACGTATGCAACAAGCGTAAACAGTATCTTTCCTGTGAACACGTAAGTTCATTTTGAAAAGACGTTACACGTGTAAGGAGCGGACACATGAGACATACAGCTGAACGGAGGTTGTATCTGTACAGAATAGGAGGAGCATGTTTCATCCTGAGAAATGGAGAAGAAATTCAGCCGGGAGCCAAAAGAAGGGCCAGACACAGCCTTCATCCTCCCAACACACACGCAGACTATAAAATGCTGAAAACAATTCCATTTGGATGAAAGTATGTAGGCTACATTGTATTTATACACATCTGAGATGCATCATGTGATGTATTTTTGTGTGTGAATGCATGAAGGCAAAAGGATGCGTGTAACTCTGTATGTGGGTTGGCAAGGGCTGGAGGCTGGCAGGTGGTCAGGGCTGAGTGTCTCTCCCCTGTGGGTCAACCCCCCCACCCCACCCCTTCAGCTCCACCTCCAGGGTCTAACCGTCCGTGTTGAGCCGCACCAGAACATCTCGTGGCTGGGCTCAGACCTCAACCGCCATCTCCCTCTCCCTGCTTGGAGCTAAAGTTGCTGAATTTTCTATGATTTAAAATCTCAGACAGCATGCTATTTTGATTCTTCTCTTTGATTTGTACATGGCTTAAAGGTTAATGTTCCATGGCTCTGGGAGCAGGCAAACATTTTAAGGATTGACGGGGGCTCAGTGTTGCGTTCAAGGACATTTAGATGTTTATCATACATTTTTAATTGACTTACAGTATATAATTCTGGTTGTAAGAATTATTATTTGTTTTGAATTGTAAAATGTCTTTTGAAACCATGACAAAGGCACTTTTACCTAACCTTTACCCTCTGTTTTATTTTAGTTGACTTACTTACTTATCTCTCGGTTTTTCTCCATCTCAGTCGATTTACTTTGTTTACACTGGACTGGAACTGAAGCAAGGAGGTTTTTGCTGAGCAAATGCACAACATTCATTTTGGCAAAATTAAATTGGCTCAGTTATTCTTCGGCTGGCTGCTTAGCCTTTAACAGTAAACAATATAAATATATGTAAGAGTTGTTATGTTATTACATTAACACAAATCATGAAGTTTTTTTTCAAATCTCAACTAGTTTTGTTGCCTGACCAATCGCTTCACAACGTTAACCACGTGGCATTGTGCTTTCTTTAAGTGTGATACAAGGCTGATATGAAACACATTTATGAAACATGTTTTTGGTTCAGAAACGTCCACATTCAACATGTCCTGTGGTTTGCAGAAACACATAATGGCAACAGCAGACAGAAATACTTGGAGTGGTTGAAGGCCACAAACAGCCAGAATAAGAGGCTTATAAAACTCTGTTTGATGACTGTATAATGATGTTTACCAGCAATTAAACCACAAAAATAGAATTATGAATATACAATCCACCTGCTTTGATGTCAGAGGGAGAAAATTTAAAACTCGATTATGGACTAAATGGCCTTGATAACAGTGGTAGCAGCTGATCGGGGGGTTGAATGGCAGGTGAAGAACTATTTGAAGATTTAATGAAGTGAATTTCAGTCAAAACACTAAAGCAAGCCTGCAGTACACACAATAAATATTCCATCCAAGCTAGCAAATGGTTAATACTATAACCTTAGGATGATTTGAATGTGGCATAACTCTCCAGTTCAAATGTTGAATGTAAAATGCATCCTTTTCTCTGCAGCAGGAGAGAGCTACAATGCGGTGAGCTACTTTGCTCCTCTCTCCTCTAGCCTGTGAGCCAGGAGTCGATTGGGGTTCGCCATCACCAGAGATGTTTCAGTCACTTAAATGAGACGAGGAGAAAGGAGACAGTAGAGAGGAAGCTTCAAAAGGAGACAAGGTACCACAAGTGTATCCTAAACAGAAATATTTCAACAGTCAGCTGATCTGATGGGACTGTAAAGGAACGGGCAGGTTACCAAGCAGCATCACAACAATTTTGTCTACTAATCAGAGAATCTGTTGTTTGATCCCCGGCTCCTCCAGTCCGCATGTCAAAGTCAAATTGTGGCAGACACTGAACCCAAAGTCGCTCCTGAGGGTTATGCCATCGATGTGTCAGGGTGCCAGATGTGCAACGGTTTAGATCCTGATAGGCAGGTGGCACCTTGCATGGGAGCCTGTTCAGTGTATGAATGTGTGTGTGTGTGTGTGTGTGTGTGTGAATGGGTGATAGTGAC